GGGGGTGATTTTGGAAATATGTACTTAAAAATACTAAATGGTACTAATATTGATTGGAAGGCTAAAATTTGGCATTGGGATCACTTTTTGTGGATCTCTGTTGATATATGGCAGGAGATTCGGAAATTCATACTTAAAAGTATTTGGGGAAGGAATAGAGCTGGAAATCGGAAATTTAGGGTAGGAGTCATCGATGTTGTGTAGAATATACAAACGAATGTGTTTTTCGACATTTTAAAAATACCTGCACAAAAAGTTCTAGAATGCAGTAAATTTGGTACGATATGTGGTCGGATATTGTTAAATCTTGAATTCGTCACAATTTGATTTTGGGTGAGCGGAAGTAGCTGGAATTTTAAAATGTCTTTATTGGGGTCCCTATTGGGGTTTGTATGTGATAAAGAGGTATTTTGGAAATGTGTACTACAAGTACAAGTACTAAATAGTACTATATTAGGTACAATTCGGTATTGGGTGAACAGAAAGTGCTTGATATCTGAAATTTGATATTAGGATCGCTGTGCATGTGTAGCCTGAACATATGGAGGTGGCATCGGAAATGTGTACTATAATTGTACGAAAAGTACTGCTGGTATTAAACTCTAATCTTTTCATTTGTAGTTAAGCGAAGTAAATAATGGGCCAAGATTGCGAACACAATGGGTTGGGTTAAGTCTTAAATCTATATCCACAAGAGAACAATTTTTTCGTTGTTGAAGCTGAATTTCGAAACCACAACATAAGTCATGATCAGAACGTAGTTTGTTTAAATAAAGGGGTTTTCGACTCATACAGCACCCAAGTTTTTATGGAGATTTCTCTTATTAGTATCCATACTAGCCCTCTGGGTATCACTGTGCCGAGAGGGTCACTGATAGAGTATATGATGGAAGCACCAAATGTTTTTCTGGAAATTCGCACCATATGATTACGAAAAGTACCATATTTGGCATGGGAATCAAGGTAGAAGAGTAGACAGATGTAAGGAGATAGTTTTGATTCGTAGATCTTTGGTATGTGGGAATTTGTGGTAATTCATACTTATGTATACTAAATTTTGTTAGAATTGAAATTTTGGGAGAAGCAGTAGAGTTGGGACTGAGAAGTTTAGGACTGAGAAATGCAGGTAGTTTTGAAAATTCGTACTTATATGTACTAAATGGTACTAAATTTGGAATTATTTAAATTTTTAGGAGAACAGATAGTATGAAAAAATGAAATTTGGAAATAAGATTTCTATTGGATTGCAGAATGCAGGTGATTGTGAGAATTTGTACTTTTATGTACTACATGGTACTAAATGTAGTACAATTTAACGTTTTGAGAGTACAGAAATCCTATTGCACTGTAGTATTTATGTATGTAGGAAATTTTGGAAATTCATACATATGTGTACTAAATGGTACTAAATTTGATACAACTTATTTTTTGGGAGATCCGGAAGAGTTGGAATGTTAAAATTTGGCAATAAGATTACTGCCGGAGTGTATGATTGGGATATGGAGGTAGATTTGGAATTTGGTACAACTTTGAATTGGGTGAACCGATAGAGCTGGAATCCTGCAATTTGGAATTAATATTATTGTTGGATTGTAGGATTGGGGTAACCAGTGGAGTTGGAATACTGAAAATTGGAAATAAGATTTCTATTGGATTGAATGATGTATTTGATTATGGGAATTTATATTTATGTGTACTATATAGTACTAAATTTGTTACAATTTGGACCTAGGTGAACCAATAGAGGTGGTATCCTGAAATTTAGAATACGACTTCTGTCAGAGTATAGGATTAGGTTAGTTTTGGTAGATTAGGATTAGGTAGTTTTGGTAGTTTTTACATGTTAGTATTAAATTGTACTAAATTTAGTACAATTAACAACTGTGATAAACCGATGGAGCCGGAATTGTGAAAGTAGGAATGAGAGCCAGTGATGGAGTGCAGGTCAGGTTTATCAAAGGGTTATTGGAAATTTGAACTATAAATTAAGGAAATGTTCTAAAATGTTATTAACCTTCTAAAATGGTACCATTTAGTATTATGTGAACGGATAAAGCTAAATATTTTGTATGAGAATTAAGGTTGGAAAGAAAGGTTGATATATGAAGGTGGATTTGGAAATGTGTACTAAGTGTGCGAACTGTACTAAATGGTACTTAATTTAGAACTGTTTTGTAAGGTGAACGAATGAAATTAAAATTTTGTATTAGGGTTCCCGGTTGGTGGTAGATTCGTGATAAAGATATGGTTTTAAAAATGTGTACTACAACTGTCCGAAAAGTACTAAATGGTACTACCTATTGTACAATTTGGCTCTGGGTGAACTTATAATGCTTGAAATCTGAAATGTGTCATTAGGGTCACTGTTCATGTGTAGCCTGGACATATGGAGATGGTTTCGGAAATGTGTACTTTAACTGAATAGTGCTACATTTGGTAGGGGTGAAGGAATATAGATATAATTCGAAGATTTTATATTTAGATCACTGATCTGAGCTTTAAGAATCGGCGTAGGTTTGAAAATTCGTCCTTAATTTGTACGAAAAGTACTAAATTGTACTATATTTGGTATTTCGGTGAATGTTTAGGGCTGGAATTTTGAAATTTAAAATTGATGGTATCTGGGATTAATATGTAATGGTGGTTTTGGAAATGGGTACTACAACTAAATTTGGTATTGGGTGAAGGATTAGAGCCTTAATTCTGAAATTTGAAATTGATATCGCTGTTTACGTCCTATGTTTGTAGGAAAAGATCTAAATAGTTTTGTGTTGGATGAAAGGACAGGTCTGGAATCATCAAATTTGATATTGAGGTCTTTCTTGGTATCTGGAATTGAGATATGGAAATTGTTTTGAAAATGTATAATATAATTGTACGAAAAGTACTGAATGGTGCTATATTTGGTATTGAGTAAATCTATAGAGCTGGAATCCCGAAATTTGATATCTCTCTTGGTGTCTGGTTATGAGATATGGAGGTGGTTCTGGAAATATGTACAAAAATTGTACTAAATGATACTAAATTTGGCAATGAAGGAAATTACAGAGGTGAAATTCTGAAATTTGATATTAAAGTAACTGTTGGTACCTGAGGTTGAAATATGGAGATTATTTTGAAAAGGCGTACTATAATTTTTCCAAAAGTACGAAATTTGCTATTAGATGAAAGGGTAGGGTTGGAATGCTTACATTTGATATTGAGGACTCTTGTTGCTTTTGAAATTGAGATATGGAGGTGGTTGTGGAAGTGTGTACTATAATTGTTCGAAAATTACGAAATAGTACTAATTTCAATATTAGGTGAAGGAATAGGGTTGGAATCTTCAAATTTGATATTGAGGTCTCTGTTGATATCTGGTTGTGAGATATGAAGGTGGTTATGGAAACGGGGGAATGGGGCACCGGGAGAAATTACAAATTACAAAGCTGAAATCCTGAAATTTGATATTAAGGTAACTGTTGGTATCAACTTCAATTATTTTGAAATCGTGTCCTATAATTGTTCGAAAAGAACTTATTTTGGTATTAGTGAATGAATGAATTGATGAATGGACAGGGCTTAAATCCACAAATTTGATATTGAGGTCTTTGTTGGTATCTGGGATTGAAGTATGGAATTGGTATGGAATGGTTTCTACGAAAAGTACTAAGTGGTACAAAATTGGAAATTGGGTGAGGGAATAGAGCTGAAATCCCGGAATTTGATATTGAGGTCTCTGTTGGTATTGGAGATTGAGGTATGGAGGTGTTTGTGGAAATATATACAATAATTGTACTAAATGGTACTAAATTTGTTAGGGGGGGAAATTACAAAACTGAAATCCTGAAATTTGATACCAAGGTAACTGTTGCTACCTAAGTTTGAGATAGGGTTGGAATACCTTAATTTGGTATTAGGTGAAGGGATAGGGTTGGAATCCTCAAATTTGATAGAGAGACCTGTTGGCATCTGGTATCGAAATATGGAATTAATTCTGGAAATTATATACAACAAGCACTAAGTAGTACAAAATAGGGTATTGAGTGAAGGAACATATCTGGAATCCCGGAATTTGATATTGAGGTCTCTGTTGGTATTTGATATTGAGGTACGGAGGTGGTTGTGGAAATATGTACTATATTTGTAGGAAAAATACTAATTTGTGCTTAATGTGGTATTTTGTGAAGGAACAGTACTTAAACTCAGAAATTTTATATGTATGCCATTATTAGGCTCTGTGGTTCAGATATGGAGGTGGGTTCTATAGTTGTTTGAAAAGTACTGAATGGTACTAATTTTAGATCATTGATAATTTCTAAGAAGCAGAGGTGAGGATTGTTTTGAATATGCGTACTTCTGCCACAGAAACAGAATTCAACATATCGAATTTTAAATGATTCCCTTGAGAAATGATGCAAAATTATCAGAATACCGAATGTCAGGAAGTACTTAAATATGGGGATTATAAGAAAACGTGGACCTGTATAGGCAATGTTTTGCCGCAGTAGGTGGAAACCGGTAAAAACTATATTTCCTGAGTTTTTAACAATTCTGCTAGAAAATCAGCAAAATGACGAATGCCGGAAAATATTGTTGAATGAGGGCTACAGGAAAACGTGAACCTATATAGACAATAGTTTGCCACAAGAGAAAACCCATGAATGAAATTTTAAAGAATTCCTTATAAATATGTGGCTTAAATTCCTAAAATACCGAATATTGGGGGGGGGGGGGGGTGCAGGATCCCTAAGAACCAACATCTCAAATATTCAGATCAACCCGCTCAATCAAAAACAAATTGTAACGAATTAAGTACCATTTAGTACAGATGTTACACATTTCCAAAAATACTATTTATATCAACAGGAAGTACCCAAACCTAATTTTTATACCAAAGGTCAAGATTCTCTATCTCTCTTCTCGCGGTATAGAGTATATAAAGTTCGGCCCTACCGATTCAACTCCATTCTGCTTTTCCTAATTCTAAATTCTTATTCCCTTTTTCTCTCTCTTTCCAGATGACCGAAAGATGATTAAGTGGATTTGTTGAAAACAACTGCAACACTAAATGTTAAAGTCGCCAACGGTCTAATTGAATAATGACAAGGCTACAAACGGCAAGCGAATCAATTACAAGGATAACACCAAACGTTGTGGTTGCAAAAGCAAATTCCCCGGCAATTGTTGCCAGTAAATGGAACAGCAGAACCATTGTCAACGAAAAACCCAAAAGTGAAAAGAAGACTATTGGATTGCAGCAGTTTAGTTGCGACACCACACCATCATACATCCTACCCGACAGCAACGAGAACGGGCAAACAACCAAAAAAACAGTTCCAACCAAAAAAATATTCATTGCAGTTATAAAAGGATTTTAGCCAGGCTAACCAAACCAAACTCAAAACGAAAAAAAAGCAAAAGCAAAACCGAGAAAAATAAAGTCTATGGAAATCCTATTAAAACAAAGTGAACCACCATTGCCGCCGCCGCCGCCGTTGTTGCCGCCATCTCGTTTGACAGCCTCAACAGAAGCAACAACACCAACACCCACAACAACACAGTCTTCTCTGTCCTACAACGTGAAGTTGACAAGCTGTAGTTGTTGCAGTGATAATGAGGAAATTAGTTATTTGCCTTTTAGTATTTGGGCTCTATGCAATACAGACAGTGGGACACATGAACAGTGACCCAGCGCCAGGACGTTCACCGGGACCACCTGTGCCATTAGACGTTGCTGTTGCCACAGCCATCCCAGCCAAGGTGGTGGGAGAAGAAAAACAACAGCAGCAGCAGAACAATGTGAAAATTGTAAATAACGATAGCCATTATAGCAATTACAACAACAACAATAACAAGTTTACTTACAACAACAACAAGAACAACAGCACCGAGGAGAGTAATGACAAAGACAACGAAGATGTTTCCTCCGCCAACAATGACACATTCTCAATACCCCTTGAAGACCAGACCTCAGATTTAGATAACAGCAACAACAGCAACAATGGGGATAAGGGCCATCAGGACGAAGTAACATCCAATGAACCAATCACACCCAGTTCTTCGTTTTCTTCACAAGAAGTAGAAGAGGAACAAGCCGAAACAATTAATTTCCAATTAACAAAAACTGAAAATGCAAAGGACAGCAACCCTGAAAATGACCATCCTCGAAGTGGGGATGAGGGAAATAAGGCAGAGGCCCTATTTAGCAGGGCAGCAGAAGAGAATTTGCCTGAGCTGACAACTACATATGTCAGTGTTGAAAAACCACTGACCCCACCAGCTAAATCTCTCAATAATGACCAGATTTTACAACAAGAACAACAAGAAGAACATGAACCCATAATGTCAGCATCATATTCCGAACAAGCTACTGTCCAAGAGGATGTGGCAGAGAAATCAAAGAAGTTCTCATCACCCACAATGGCCAGTGTGATGAATTCATGTCGCTCCGAACTTGATAATTTTCTTAGTGATGCCAACGTGATTGATGTCGATGATGATGATGTAGCTGACACTGGTGCAACCATGTCAAACATTGTCAACAACACCAAATTCAATGTTCCCACAATGCCCCCGCATCGGGCCATGCAAATAGAATTACATCTGCACCATGATGTCTTCGATACCTCCAGCGAATTTGGCATCAATTGCGGTCTACTCTATAAAGGTAAGTGCAAAAATGTTCGATATCCGTTTCTATTCAATTACAACATTTCACCAAAATGGTTTTGTGGTCAAAAAAATTCTAAAAACCAAAAAAACCCTTTTATTTTCATTTTGTGGTCTGGTCTCTAAAGAGAAATGGCTTTCAATTACTCATGACCAAAATAGTAAGCTTTGGAGTAGATTTGATGCTAATGACCGTATGAAAAATGTAGTTAATGTGTGTACCATTAGCAGATTGTTGGTTTTCTGGGGGGTTTAGATCTTCCACTTAATTTATGTGAGTTTACATGGCAGGAATAAGTAAAATGTCAATTTTAATAGGTCGATTTTTGCCAATTTCCTTTTTCCACACATAACGAGCTTATTATTCTGTCTGAAGATGGCATGATAAATTTGACTTGGTATACAGTTTTTGCCATAAAATTTGTTTGTCTTTTTTGAACAAAACTATGGAGGTAATATCCATTGCTATGTAGCCGAGCCATTTTTATAAGACTCCAATCTGTTTTTTTTTTTTTTTTTTTTTTTTTTGACAGATCTGATTCCAAATCAAGTTATGTAAGTAGAAAAGTAGCTAAGTTTGAAACTTGAAAAATTAAAAGAAACTTAAAAAATTTAAAAAACAATTAGTAAAGAAAACCAAAAATCGGGTGGGCCGCCTATATGATACCCTACACCACTGTGCATATTTAGTAGAGCTTCCGTAACAAACGAATTTATTTTAAGTAGAGTTCATGATATTACTTGGGGAAGGATTATATTAAACAAGTAAAAAAGCAGTAAGTTTGGCCGGGCCGAACTTTGTATACCCTCCGCCATTTGGAACGAATTAGGACATTTTCAAAAAATAAAAATAAAATCCATTAAAAATTCTGATAAAATCTTGGAAATTGCCGATATATTGTGGATCTATATAGACAAATCTATGTCTAGGGATAAAGTACTCACAAATAACTCCCTGTATAGAATTTAAGACAATTCCGTTTAAAAATGTGGCTAAAATCATCAAAATACCGAATATCGGGGGGTACTGTTATATGTGGACTATATAATATCGTGGACCTATATAGTTAATTCTCTTTCAACGAATAAAGTACTCACAAAGAACTCGTTGTGCGACCATTCCATTGGAAAATGTGGCTAAAATCATCAAAATCCCAAATATCGGGGGATACCGTTATATGTGGTTTATACTGTATTTTGGACCTATATAGACAATTCCCTTTCAGGGGATAAAATGCTCACAAGGAACCCCTTGTGTAGAGTTTTAGGCAATTCCGTCGAAAAATGCGGCTAAAATCATCAAAATACCGAAAATCGGGGGTACCGTTATATGGGGGATATACGATATCGTGGACCTATATAGACAATTCTCTTTCAGGGGATAAAGTACCCACAAATAACTCCTTGTGTAGATTTTTATATCATTCCATTAGAAAATGCGGCTAAAATCATCAAAATACCGAATATCGGGGGTACCGTTATATGGGCGCTATACGATATCGTGGACTTATATGGATAATTCTCGGCCAAGGGATAAAGTACTCACAAATAACTCCTTGTGTAGATTTTTATACCATTCCATTAGAAAATGTGGCTAAAATCTTCAAAATACCGAATATCGGGGGGTACCCCTAGATGAGGGCTATACGATATCGTGGACCGATATAGCCCATCTTCGAACTTGACCTGCTTGACCTAGACAAAAGAGAGATCTGAGCAAAATTTTTTTTATCTTAGTTCGTTTAGCCTGTAGCGTGATTACAACAGACGGACGGGGCTGCACAAAATGGAAACGTACGGCCAGAAATTCACTCCATTTGGCCTAATAGGAACCATTATTTAAACAATAAACCTGAAGTCGGATTAAGGATATATATGGGAGCTATACCCAAAACTAAGCCGTTGTCGATAAAATTTGGCAAATGTGTTTCCGAGCTCTATAAGATATCTGGTACTAAATATGATTGTTGTTGAATGGATACTACGAATGTGAGGGATAAAACAAGTATATGCGAGCTATAGCTATATATGAACCGATTTACACCAAATTTGAAGTACTGGTTTATAGGATGAATTCAATCGTAATTGCCGAAATTCCGCCAATTTGGGCTGATATCGGATCAAAATATATATAAGAGCTATATTCAAATCTGAACCAATCTCCACAAAATTTGACAGGGCATTTTCGAGCAGTATCTGATGTCCGGTACCAAATATCATTCTTCTGGAGTGCATAAACGTAAACTCCCAAATCGGATGAAACATATATATGGAAGCAATAGCTGTATCTGAACCGATTTTCTCCAAATTTGATTTACTTGCTTCTAGACTGAATTCGATGGGATGTACCAAAATACAGGTCATTTGGACTGATATTGGCTATTTGGTGCACATTAACCCGAAATCGTTTGAGGATATATATGGGAGCTATATCCAAATCTAAACTGATCTCGACAAAATGTTAAACACTTATTTCTGAGCTGTTTCTGATATCTAGTACCAAAGACTATTGTTGTGGAGTGCATATTACGACTTTAAACCCCAAATCGGATAAAACATATATATGGGAGCTATAGCTATATCTGAATCAATTTTCACCAAATTTGATGTATTTGCTTCTAGACTGAATTCGGCCGAATATACCAAAATACAGGTCATTTGGACTTATATTGGCTATTTTGTGCACAATTAATCCGAAATCGGTTGAAGATATATGGGAGCTATATCTAACTCTGATCCGATTATCACCAATTTCAATAGGGTTCATCCTTGGGCCAAACAAATATTGTTTGAAAAATTTAATCTCAACCGGATAATAACTTCGACCTGCATTTTGTTCACAAGAATACATGGAGGGACGGAATGACATGAGTAAATCGATTCAGAAAGTGATTCTATGAAGATACTCATAAGTAACTATGGGTCTATCTCGCTTCCTTCCCCATGTTACAAAAAAATGCATAAAGACATAATGTCCTTACCTCTATGTGGTGTAGGGTATAAAAATATCTCTGAGAAAATGTCGCCCAAGTGAAATCCGTTACATGGTGATAATACGAAGACCCTACATAGTATGGTGGAGGGTATAAAATAAGCCTCAACCAGGATTTTGCGCGTGATATATTCCTTTAGAACTTGATGTGGTGTCCATTGGAACTGCGATTTTCGAATTTCGAAAAAGGAAAGTTGTGCTGAATGTGCCAGTTTACAGAACTGAATTTCTATTCCTTCACCGAATACCAAATTTTGTAACATTTAGTACACATATCAAAAACAATCCACATCTCTCCATCCTAAACACCAACAATTACCCAAAATTAGTACAATTAATACTATCCGAACAATTATAGTACGCATTCGCAAAACCTTTTACATATTTCGATTTCAGACACCAACAGAGACCTCAATATTAAACTTGAGGATTCCAGCCCTGTCGTTTCACCCAAAAACCATATTTAGTACCATTTTGTACTTTTTGTACAAATATAGAACGCATTTCCAAATCTCAAACATAGATAAAATCCAATTCCAGCATTGTATCTCCGCCCCTTCACCCAAAATTAAATTAAATACCATTTGGTGAAACTCGTACAACTATAGTTAATATTTGCAAAACCAGTTCCATAAACAATATCGTCCACTCCCACACAAAATGTCGAAATTTTCAAAAAATATATTTTCTGCACAGAAAGAAAAAAGATAATCCGATTTTGCTCCAACTTTAAAAATCCTAATATTTCCGTCAGTGCTACGTCAGGTGGACAATATCGGTCCACTCCCTCATATTTTTTTGCTCAGAAAGAAAAACGATAATCCGATTTTGTTCCAACTTTGCAGATCCTGATATTACAACTCTTATAAAATTTGATTTAAGAGTCCGATTGTCTTCAATTTTCATACATCGCAAGTTCTGGTGCCATAGAATAGATCGGTCCACTCCTTCTGGTATCTTCCCCAAAAAAAGTCAAAATTTTCAAAAAAAAAAAAAAAAAAAAAAATCTGCATAGAAAGAGAAGTAATAATCCGAATTTACTCCAACTTTGCAAGCCCTAATATTTGCATCAGTTCTAGGTCAGGTGCAAAGATGAATTATATTGGTCAACTCCATCAAGTGCCTCCCCCACAAAGGGTAAAAATTTTGAATAATTATATCTTATTAAATGTGATGTAAGAATCCAATTGTCTCAAAATTCCACACACCTTAATATTTTCAATAACCCAAGGTCTGTTGTGAAGATGGAATACAACGGTTCACTCCTTCTGGTATTTTAAATATCCATTAAGCTCATAAAACGCTAAATTAACATCCGATTCCATTTAGTCTTGGCACATCTGAATATTTCTATCAACACAGGATCTGTTATAACCAGTAAAGAAAGTATTAAAGTCGGGCGGGGCCGACTTTATGATACCCTACACCACTTTGCTAATTTACTAGAGCTACACATAACAATTAAAAGTTTTTATTGGAGAGTTCAATCATACACGCTACGATTATAATTATAATTTAAAGTTCAAAAGACTAAATATGCCGAAGCATTTGTATCTTTTAAATTCGGACTTGTATTGTCCATTTGGTGCACAATTAATTTGAAATCGGATAAAGATATATATGGGAGCTATATCCAAATCGGAACCGATCTCGATAAAATTCGGCAAAAATATTTCTTAGTGGTATTTGATATATTTCCCTGAAAATCGTTGTTACGGAGTGCATATTACGGCTGTGGGTAACAAATATAACAAATCGGATGAACAGTATATATGGAAGCTATAGCTATATCTGAACCGATATTCACCAAATTTGACATACTAGCTTCTACACTCAATTCGGTCATAAGTGCCAAATTCCATCCCATTTGGACAAATATTAGACGTTTGGTGCACAAAAAAGGGTAAATCGGACGAAGTTATATATGGGAGCTATATCCAAATCTGAACCGATCTCGATAAAATTTAACAAAGGTATTTCTGAGCTGCATTTGATATATTTCCCCA